CAGGCCAGGTGCATTGCAGCTCTCAAGCATTTTCTGCTGAGGAAGCATGCAGAATCAAACCATTTAGCTCTGGCTTCTTGTCTGTTCTTCATTGGAAATTTAACAATGAGAAATTTTCTCAATGAATGGCTTAAGTCGTCATAACAAGCCAAGATATTGTCTGCACCTGAAGACAAATATGAAATTAGGTTTCTCCAGGTCTGGAGCTGTGCAGAATCCATAAAACTGGATAATGCTTCAATATCAACTTTGGCCCATTTAAGTTTTCTGTCCTGTCTCACTTCCAAATTTGCAAGAAGCCTCTTGTCCCAAGGTAGGTTTTCCTGGAAGTCGGAACTTCCTCAGGAAGAAACTGAAATTGGTTGGTGGTCACTGTCTTCTCTAATCAGGACTTGTATATCTGAAAACATCTCTAACCTGTCTCTTGAAACACGTATAAAATCTAAAACACTACTAAAATTGCCTGAATGATAAGTAAAAGGATATATAAAACCAGGGTTCCTACCACCTAAAATATGTAGATTACAGTTATAAATCATAGGAACCAGTTGTACACCTGTGATATTTCTTTTTTCATCTCTAGAATGCCAAGGGGGAGCAGATAGTAAGTAGTCCTCAGGAATAACTCCCAAGTAAACAAAATTTTGTAGGGAAGCCCCCATCCTGGCATTAAAATCACCTACCAGGACTATAATAGCTTTTGGGTATTTTACCTTTAACTTTAAGATTGTCACTTCCAAATTTGCCCAGATGTTCAGTGAGTAATAAGAAGAGGAGTTAAGGTAGAAAATAAGCATTCAACAAAACCAATTTGAAAGAATCATAGGAAAATTTAACAATTAGGTGAGAAGATGGAATATCATTGAAGGTCAATTCCTGGGCTTGCCAGCCCAGCTCTGCCTTGACTAGAATTGCCAGGCCACCAGAGGCCCTCCCTTTGGTCTTAAATTTAGTCATGGGGATAAACCATTATCTGAAGCCTGGCAAATGAATCTGATCTTCTTCCAGGGACAGCCAAGTCTCCTGAAGAGCTACAAGGTCAAAACGTATCAGAAAATCCACCAGGTCCCCATCCAAGACTCTTACTTTCCATCCAGCAATATTCCAAGACAATAGATGGAATTGGTCTGCATGCTTAACATTTTCAGGAATAGGGAAAGAGTTCATGTGCACTTGAGAAGGGGCACAAGTGTTTTCCAGTCATTCCACATTGGTAATGTTGTCTAAAATTCCGTCCGAATCAAAAAAGACACACTGATCTATTGTGTGCCTGCCTTCTCTTTTACCGGGTTGCTGACTGAACTCCAAATGATGTTGTGGGTCAGCAGCCTGTGGCAAAGATACGTTGGTAGACTGGCCCATCAGAGTAGTAACAGAAACCAGGAGGGGAGTTGTCAGACAAAGGTGGTCCTCCTTAGGACTCAGATCAGCTCCTGCACCAGGGCTTTCTTCTGACTGTTATACCACGGTGATTAAGCAGCCATTCAGGTCCTCTTGCCTGTTCGCTTCTGTTATAATGCTACTGCTCATTGTGTCTGTATGCAGAGAAATTTTATCAGGAGTCTCAAAAAGGGCATTTTTTTTAACAGCATTCGGGGTAACAAGATCTATTAAGAGTTTTGCACCCTTGCGTGTAGTTTCTAACACACCTTTCAAGTCATCTAATCTATTAATAATGCCCACTTGCTCAGAGTCTGGCAAAGTACGGAAGGAGTTAATCAAACTTGATTCTAAAAGCTCTACTGAGCACTGATGAGTAGGAGGCATGGAGTGGTGCTTTTTATTTTATTTTTTTAATTGCCGCTTCTCAAGGACGGGGGGGTAGCATCCCTGGAAATAACTGCTTTATAGTCGCTGCAGTTAGGCTTGGAAGAAATGACACTCTTTTTGCTAGAACAGGCTACCAGAGGTCTGATTCCCTCCTCGTTGAATACTCAAATAGGATAAATCTCAAACCTACTCAAGAAAGGATTCATTTTGAACAACATACTTGCTATGGTGGGCTGATTAAAAGTCAGCAAAATACATTTAAAATTTAAAAGGAAGCCACTCGATCCTCTGCAAATCCACCAGCTGCTTTTCGCAGCAGAAGAGTTGGCTAAGGGAAGAAACAGCTACATTTCTGGATCTCCACTTTCTCTTATTAACTCTATTATTTAAAATTTGTAAAGTGATCTGATTCCGCTGTAATTAACACTAATGGTTTATGTCTTTTATCCAGAACTTCTTGGGAAGAAGAAACTTGCTTGGCAAGCACCTCTGAATGTTGGTCATGTGGCAAGTCTATAGCACTTTTGATCAAATCCAAATTAGTGTCCATCTTTAGGTCAACAGATTATACAAGTGACTCTTTTATTGAGTCCACTTTGTTGTTGACAGTAGTTAAGAGATCAAATACTGAAAGCACTGTTTGCGCCATCAGAAGGCATTGCCTAGATATAAAATCGGTAAAGTTTTTGTTTTGCAATTCCTCTCCCTCGTGTTGCCTCAGTTCCTCAGCAGCAGAGCACATAGCTGCAGATCGAAGAGGGGAAGACTTCCCAGGGATAGAAGCAGAGATGTCCAAAAGTTGTGAACTTTCTACCTCTGCTTGTAAGTCCCATTCCAGGGGGTCAAATCTATTGAGGAGGCTAGGGGATGGGGATAAGAATTTGTTACTTACAGCTGTTCACTGATTGTTTTTCAGGAAGTCACCCATTTTGAGTTGATTAGTAGAGTTACATGGTGTGTTTGAAGCAGAGTGGGAGCACTGCCTTTTAGATTCCTTGCATGAAAGATGTTCTTCTGTCTCTGATTGCTTGGCTGACTTTAGAGCGGAAAAAGATCCCGGACTGGTGCCATGTCTTTTCTTTCTTTTTCTCATGTTGTTTTCCTTGGCTGATTTTCAAAGTAATAAATAATACTCTCTCTTCGTCTTCATTGGCAGGTGTCTGGAGCTATTAGGTTCCAGAGTCCAAGGTCTAAAATCCTAATCCTATCTAATCCTTGTTCTAAAACTCTAAGTGTCTTAAAACTATATAAAACTGTATAAAATAAATGCCTAATCCACCAGAAAGAGGAGCTAGCTAAAAAACTAGCTAGGCTATTTATAAAATAAAATCCTAATCCTATCTAATCCTTGTTCTAAAACTCTAAGTGTCTTAAAACTATATAAAACTGTATAAAATAAATGCCTAATCCACCAGAAAGAGGAGCTAGCTAAAAAACTAGCTAGGCTATTTATAAAATAAATAGCACATATAAAATATCATAGGGAGCTCAGCAGAATATATGAATATACAGTATTTTTGGCACTATCTACTTGTTTTTACTAATCATGTGACAAACTAAGTACATTCCACTGACATTTTTTACTTTTTCAATGTATTTCAACATGCAGATATTTAATCTTCATTGCAGCAATACTGATAAAGGGGATATAATGTAACAAATATCATGCACCATTTACATTTTGTAGTCCATTGTGTAATTGAAATAAACAAAAATGCAAATTTCACATGTGGAAAAAGTAAGTACCCCCCTACATTGATCACTACCTCAAACATCTACAATTAGAATCCAGTGCACCAGATCAGGTGCAAAGGATTAGAACATCATTAGAGAGGATCTGGGAGGAACCTGTCTTATTGAAACCTCAGACATTTAGTTTGATTTGCTCTTTGTTGTTGACGTATGTGGTATCACCATGCCTAGATCAAAAGAGCTCTCTGAGGCCTTCAGAAAGAAGGTTATACATGCCCATGAGACTGCGAAGGGATTTAAAAAGATTTCCAAACAATTGGACATCAATCATTCCACTGTTCGGAAGATCATCTACAAGCAGAGAAGGTTTGGGCAACTGCTAACTTGCCCAGGCCAGGCAGCCCCAAATCTGGCTGAGATGCAGGCAAAATAAGCAAACCATTGTTGAGATTTCTGGACACATGCAACAATGTACGCTGTGGGGAATGCTATTTCCAACTAGCAGTCTCATTTGCAGTATCTCTCCATGTGTATCAGGAAACCGACTCCTCCCAAATTCAAGTGGCCTTTTTAAGCTCTCACCTGGAACTCATTTATACCACACTGCTGCTGTCAGTGTCATCCTAGGCACACCAATCAATTTCTCTCTAGAAATACAAACATGCTCAACACATGCTCATTGGCTAAAAGGCTTAGCACACAGTAGTCCTTCTCCATCAAAAGGCACATCCTCAATTAGTTTTTCATAGTCAGGTCTGTGGATTTTGGCCATGTGTGGAATAAAAAAGATGGAAGCAGACATCACCTTAGAAGAGTAGCATATGGTATGTCTCACCATGTTAATTGTTTTTATCCAAATAAGTTTTACTTGGAATAATTGACTGTTTGCACAGAGGCATGGGGACAAAGGGCAATGTCTCCCATAGAAAAAGGTGTAATTTGACTAAATAGGCCAAAGAATTGGCAATAAGGACAAGACCCCAGAAACATAAAATCTGTGGCACTTGGCATCCAACTTTTTCTCACTTTATTCACTGAGGCCACGTGTTGCTATTCCTGAAAACAAGAATTATGTTGCTTCAAAAATAAAATATGTAGCATGGAATATGAACTAAGTATGAGATAGAATTATGAATTGACTACTATTGTCCCTCACTCTATATGCATTTCAATCCACCACAGAAATCATAGCAAAGGACCAATCGACCTAATTATAAACCTTAAAAAACAGCTACAAAAATAATATAATTGTCACTACAAATTGCACTGGAATTATGACTCAATAAATAATCAACCAGTCACAATAATCTCATCATAAGAAGGAAGGTATAACATATGGAGCTGAACTGTAATTTAGTTATCTCCTACAAGATAAGGAAAATAAATGTAGATGCTTTTTTGATTCAGAGCATAAAATTGAGGTTATTCTTAACTACAGAGAAGGAGACACCAACTTTCAAATATGGTTTCTGAAGCTGGCTTATTAATTAATTGATTAGATTAACATGATCAAGCATGATCTCTCTTCGTTCACTCACTGTGAAAAGGTTGGACCGGCGCTTGGACTGTTTACGAACAGGTGTTGGAGTATTAGTAGTAGGTGGAACATCAATTCGTAGTTCCTTCTGACTGGTGCTTGGAGTAGATGGGACAGAGGAAGAATAATCACTTAAACTCCCTCCTCCATTACTGGTCTGCAATAATTAAAATCCACAAAGAAAATCAATTTCTTAATTGTATTTCCTACTACAATATAGGATTTTTAAATATATATAGAATTTCTATACAGAGAGAACATTATCACTCTCTTTCACTAAATCCTCTTGGAATTAATAGGCAATCTTTAAGCCAAGACTATTTCCCTCTATATTCCTTCCTCTTAAATTAATTAAATTTTCACATTTCTTTCCTTTTCCCTCTATCCCATGTAAGGCCTTGTGGCTGATGTGGCCAGAGGCAAAACAAATTTTGATACAGCAGATATGTGTATATCATTTGTACATGGAATGTCAGAACTATGAACCAAGGAAAACTTTATGTTGTCAGAACAAAAATATACAAACTGAAGTACTGATATTCTTAGAATCTGCAAACTGAAATTGCCTAAAATGGATCATTTCACATCAGAGAAATATCTTCTACTGTGGACAAGAAAAGTGTATAAGAAATGGAATAGCCATAATTGTGGACAAAAGCATGTTAAAGTCAGCACTCAGATATAATCCCAGAATTGAATGACTAAATGAATTGATACCCTTTATTTATTTATTGCCATAACTATCGGCAGCTCACATCAACAACAATAAAAACACAAAAGAAACAATAAAAAGCAGCATTCAAAAAGCAATTCCCAGCACCCTAACACAACACTCTCTAGTACACAAACAATCACAATCACTCAGTCCCAGCCTCACCGTATCCCAATATTTTGGGGGAAAGCAAACTTTTTAAGCCTTCTGGAGTGGGGCCCTATCAGATCTCAGTTATTCTATGTCTTTTATGCCATTTCCTTCTCCAGTGCATCACCTTTAGTCTGATTCTCATGAGTGACCCTTGGGGGAATATACACATTCCCAGAGACACAGCTCATAGTGTCACTGGGATGTACAAGCCACTTCACCACTATATACATCAATAAATAACTCCTTCATATATTAGTTCTCATGTAGTCAGACATAGAAATAGAAAAGAGAAATTATAGGGAAAGTCCCCAAGCCTTCATAGAGGCAGACAGGGCCATTTGGGCTATCAAATTCATCCATCTACTCAGTACAAGAATCCAAATGGAAGCATATAGCTTTCTAACTTCTACTTCAATACAACCTACAAAGAGGAGCTCACTACCTCTCTAGAAATTGTCTCCTCTATCAACCTGCTCCATTAAAAAATAACTATAGAAGGACACTGTTTTCCAGTAACTTAAATCCATTATTCCACAGTTCTGAATGTAATTTCAATTAGTTAATTAATGTAATTTAATGTAGTTGTGAATGTAGTAGGAACATTGCCATTTATATTTTATTTCACTAAGGAGCATATATTACCTGAAACAAAGTGAATTTTTTGCTTCATAAATCTTAAGGTTCTTAACAGCCACTTCTTTGATAGTAGAATGTAGAGACTGTTGGGTGCACTATGAAGAATGCTTTACATGTGCCTTACAGAACTTTAAGAACACACCCTTACAGTGGGGCAAAAAAGTATTTAGTCAGCCACCAATTGTGCAAGTTCTCCCACTTAAAAAGATGAGAGAGGCCTGTAATTTTCATCATAGAGCAATAATTAGAAAATGGAAGACATACAAGACCACAGCAATAATTAGAAAATGGAAGACATACAAGACCACAGCAATAATTAGAAAATGGAAGACATACAAGACCACAGCAATAATTAGAAAATGGAAGACATACAAGACCACAGCAATAATTAGAAAATGGAAGACATACAAGACCACAGCAATAATTAGAAAATGGAAGACATACAAGACCACAGCAATAATTAGAAAATGGAAGACATACAAGACCACAGCAATAATTAGAAAATGGAAGACATACAAGACCACAGCAATAATTAGAAAATGGAAGACATACAAGACCACAGCAATAATTAGAAAATGGAAGACATACAAGACCACAGCAATAATTAGAAAATGGAAGACATACAAGACCACAGCAATAATTAGAAAATGGAAGACATACAAGACCACAGCAATAATTAGAAAATGGAAGACATACAAGACCACAGCAATAATTAGAAAATGGAAGACATACAAGACCACTGATAATCTCTCTTTTTAAGTGGGAGAACTTGCACAATTGGTGGCTGACTAAATACTTTTTTGCCCCACTGTATTTTGTCATTTTTATTTTTTTATTTATCAAATTTGTCACTGCCCATCTCACTGAAACAGTATTCCCATCACCATGACTCCATTGGATATTATTTGTTAATTGCAAAAACGAAGACCTTTGTCTTCTTTGTAATTAATGGCAAACTGTTTGTTATACAATGGTTTATAAGCACCTTTAGTCCTCTTTGCATTCCAGTGATAAATACTGATAGAATAACTGCATCATACACATAAAGGGAATTAAAGACATCTTTCATTAAAGCGCGGGGTGTGATATTCTCCATTAGACAGACTTAAAACCAATGAATTTATACAGAAATTAAAGAGGGGGCTAATTTACTTGATTAGACTTAGCTTTCAATTCCTGGGTTATCTCCATTCAGTACAACTGCTACTTCCTATGAGATGGAAACTAAGCTTCTATCAATGCAACCTAAATAATTCGCCTTTTTATCAGTCAGGCTCCTGATTCATAGTTTGTGATCTACAAACTAGTTATCTTTATCATGTTCCTGGGCTTTTTTTTTCCAAGTAAAGAACTCTGCATTTCTCTCTATTAAATTTAATTCTAATATTTCTAGCCCAGTTTTCTAAATTCTGTTAAGAATTTTATTTCTGTTTTCTAGGTTTTAGGTTCTTTTATGTCAGTTGAAAATGTGATAAACATTACCTCTCTCTCTTCTTCCAAATCAATAATAGAAACATTCAAAAGTAATAATCCTGAATCCTGTGGCACCCCATATCATGCGTAATTTTAATGAGTATTATTTGAATGTTTTCAAGTGAGCTTAAAAGTCTGTTCTTAAATACAAAGAACTTGGCTTTATTAGTTCCACTTATTTTAAACTAGGCACTTTCTTCAATCTCACTTTTTGTTTTGTTTTGGTAATATCCTTAAAAAATTATGGAATACTTTTTTTTTTTGCTCCCTTTAAACCAGTGTTGACTCCTGGGGACTGCTTGGATGAGTCCTTGCAGTTTCTTGGCAAGATGTTTGGAAGTGCTTTGCCCATGCCTTCTTCCTAGAGAGTGACTGGCCTAAGGTCACCTAGCTGGCTTTATACCTAAGGCAGGACTAGAACTTACTGGCTCTTAGTTTCTAGCCTGGTGCCTTAACCAATACACCAAAGTGGCCCTCTGTAGGAATACCATATACATAATTTACCTTGATTTCAGTGAAGCATTTGACAAAGCATTAGGATGTAATGATAGTAATTTAGTTAAGTGTGGGCTTAATGGCATGACAAGCAAGTAGATACATAAATAGATAAATAGGAGGGCCTTTGCTCAACTTCTTGTTGTGTGCAGTTGCACCCTTTCCTAGATCGGGAAGCCCTTCTCTCAGTCACTCGTGCCCTGGTCATCTCCTGTATGGACTACTACAACGTGCTCTACATGGGACTACCATTGAAAAGTATCCAGAAGCTGCAGCTAATGCAGAATGCAGTGGCACGGGCAATTATGGGCGCCTCTAGGGCTGCGCATGTAACACCTCTGCTGCATGAGCTGCACTGGGCGCCAGTTTGTTTCTAGGTCCAGTTCAAGTTGTTAGTTATGACCTTTAAAGCCCTTCATGACATGGGCCCAGGTTACCTGAGGAACTGTCTCATCCTGGTTACATCATCCCATCCCACCCAGTCCAGCAGGAACGGCATGTTATGGACCTCATTGGCTAAAGAATTTCAACTGGCGGGGTCTAGGAGAGCCTTTTCTGCCATTGCCTCCACCCTGTGGAATATCCTGTCTCCTGAGGTGAGATTGGCCCCCACTCGTCTGGCCTTCCAGAAGACTGTTAAGACCTGGCTCTGCCAACTAGCTTGGGGATCTAATGGGGATTCGCATCACTGGGGATGGCTTGTGACTTGAGGACGCTCTCTCCATTTTTTAACTTTTTGTAAGTTTTTTACTGTTTTTATGGTTTTTATTTGTGAGCTGCCTAGAGTCACTTATATGGTGAGATGGGCGGCGTATAAATTTGATTTATAAATAAATAAACTTTTGCTCAGAAAGCAATCTTTGGTAGTTTGATGCTATATTGGAGAGAGGCTATAAAAGTTAATCTTGGGTGGCCAACTCTTCACTATTTTCATTAACAATTTGAGTTTGAAGAGGTGGAGAGAATGTTTATCAAAAGTGCAGATGTTATAAAAATGGGTGGGTCAAAAATAATACTCAAAACAAACTTGATAGGCTGGAGAAATGAGCCAAAAATAATAGAATGAAAGTTAAAAGATACAAATGCAAAGTTATTTATCTGGGAAACAAAAATCAAATGAACAAGCATAGTATAGGGGAATACCTGGTTGTTCATAGTACTTACAAAAAAGAATATAGTAGTTGATTGCAAAAATGAATATGAAAGGACTTCCAGTGGGAATTAATGGCAGTTTAGATTGTCTCCGAGGAACGGAGACAGCACGACAGCAGAGATCGGCGCCCAGAAGCCAGTGCTGGATGTCGAACTTCCTCCAGATAAAGGAGGAAGCATGAAATCAATCCATCTGATCTCCGGTCGGCTGGTCCCCACTAGTTACCTGCAAAAACGGAAGCTTTTGCAGTTTGCTTGCGAGTTGAGTGGTTGGGAGGCTGGGATTCTACCTACATTCACAGCCGTGGTGCAGCCTGCACGGTCACAAGAACCGACCAATCCTCATTTCTTAACATTTGAATATAACTATTCTTCAGTCTGGGATAGATTTTCTTTTACAACAGATAAGTACTTCTCTTGGTGATTTTCATTTTTGAGGGGATTATAAATTTCTAAGAAGATTTAAAGACTTAAAATATAAGAAGTATTAGGCAAAAAAGCTCAATCAAGAATGATATGAGAAAGAAAGTTAAAAA